CTGTGTAAAAGTTCTGCTTGTTAATTTATATTTCTTCTCCAATACATAAATGCCAGAGATGTTACAATAAATACTTTGGCAGGATTGTTTTCAGGAACTATATTCAATACACCAACAGGTCAATGAGAGGTATGTTTCTACTGGTTTAGTTGGAGACGCGTTAACCCTTTTTAAAACAGATCCAGCTTAACCAGACTGGATAGAGGGCATCTGCAGACAACGATATTTTTGTCTTCATACAGATTTCATACATAGTCCGTAATAATTAAGGTCTGTATATTGATTAGGTCATTCTTACACACAAATATGAAATGATGAAACATTGTAACGTTTGCTGTATGTTTAATGGAAGGTCTCTCAGTAAGTCTAAATGTCACGCATGTTTTCTTCCATGGTTTTTCTGTAATTACTTCCATCTTTCTTTTATGAAGGGATTTCCTGTCCCTGTGGGGGGAAAAAATCCCCACAATTTGATGGTGTCAAAATTGCACTGTGGGGATGTGTTCAAGTGGGATGTCTTAAGAGTTTCCTTTAGTTGTGGATTTCTTTTGACCACTTTAAAGACAAGATTTGTAGAGTATAAACCGATAAAGCCCTAAAAAATCATTGTTTCACCTGAGCTCTGGATCTGTGAAACTCCTCCAGAATTATCATCAGACTCTGTTGCTTTTCTCTTTTTGCTTGACCTGCCAGTTTAGATAGACGGTGCATTTTGAAAAGTTTGGAGCTGGTTTTACAATCTAATCCAGCTTTAAATGTAATTCTAATCATCTGTTTTCTTTGGTTTTTAGTTTAGTGTTCTCTTTACGACCTCTTAAATGTTCACAGAGCAGCTTGGTTTGTACAAACATCTGAAATAATTCTTTGTTTGGAAAAACTTATTTTTTTATCACTCATTTCAGTAGTAAAAGTCATAATATAGCTTGATTACACAAAGAGTACAGTGTTATTTCTTTTCATTTTAATCATGTTAAGTTTAACAGAAAATTTGCTACTTTATAGGTGTGTACAATATAGAAAATGTATCCTATACTAGGATGTCTTACAGATTTGATCTTTTCGTGAATCCCTGGAGACATTGTGTTAATGTGGCAGATACAAAAACTTACCGTACATATTGTTGGATCACTGCAAATACTGAGGCTTTTTTTTTTTTTTTGTCTTGGGGAGCTGTGGGCTGACATTGTGCAGCGCCCGGGGAGCAGTGTGGGTTTAAGGGTTTTGTGAAGGAATCCAAAGTGCAGGCAGTGGGGATCGAACTGGGTACTTACAACCTTCTCAGAGCACAAGCGCACTGCTCTAATCCCTAGGCCAACACCCCCCATATAGTGCAGAAATAGCTTGATTACATTTGTGATGTGCCTAGAAAAAATAATAGCAAATGGCAGTTTTTCAGTTTCGTGCAGTAAAAAGTGTGATTAGGCTGAAGGGCTGCGCCCTCATAGTCCTCAATGGCTGTATTTACATTTGTCCTTCAGGCTCCTGTTGGCCGGCTAGTCATCTGCTGCACAGCTCTGAGCCATTTAACGCCTCTGACTGGGACAGACAGATCGAAACGGGAAAATAGACATTTGATGTTGGAAATGCAAGACAAGGGAAGTCTCAGTCACTCCCTCCTCCTGGAGCCTGTAGGAAGCTGTAGTCATTGGCTCCTCCCTGTCTAGACCAAGAACCACTTGTGCATCCGCGCACACACTAACTCCTTTCCTACTAGCATAGCAACTTTGATTAATTCCCAGTGTGCTGTGTGAGGAGACAGCATCAGTACCGTGGTCAGGGGAGAAGGAGCCGAGTCTGCTGGATGTGACAGCTCCCTGCTTCACACTGATGCCTTAGAGTGTGGAGGTGTGTGCGTGTGTGTAGCATGAGTGAGGGTAGGATACATGTGTGTAAAAAGCCTCATCTGTCCCCTCGGCCACATCAGTGCTCAAGCATGTCTTGCCATGACAGCCTAGCCGCCTGGGTTCCTGTCACACTCCCGCACACAGACAGAGGAGCACTAACACCAGTGAGGTGAAGGGTCACAAACGACTGCCTCTCCAATGTTGTGTGAAATGTGTAGTTGACCCAGTGTGTGTGTGCGAAAATGTGAATATGTATGTGTCTATGTGATTTGAATCTGCTGGTAGTGGTGAGGGGGGCATCTCAAAGTAACTGGTTATTATCACCTCAATATTTTTCTTATTATGACAATTACATGCTCTAGGAGCAAATTAAGTGATAGAGGGCGGCAAGCGGGAGTGGTTGACAGCTATTTGGAGACTCAATGCACAGAGCAATTTGCAGCCCAGAGCCAAACAAATTGGATTTGGGCCACTTTGGATATGGGGCCCAGATTGTTGGGCGTTTGGTCCTGAGATCTGCCGTGAGCTGGTTAGCTGCCTTTAATTCCTTATATGGAACCAGAGCCAACAATGCTCCATGGCCACCAACAATATTTAAACCCTATGTTTGGATATGCATCATTCCTCACTGTCTTTGGGGAATGTACAATTTCAAGTCTATGAGCATTAAGAGTCCCCACCTCTGCATGTTAACCAGCACCACTATTTTTTGGTCTTGGGCCCCACAGCTGTGCTCAAGTGTGTGTATAATCCAAATGAGCCTAACAGCCTCTAAACGAATTACTGGTACACATTTTGCCACCCCTAAACTGCCACAGGAAAAGCTGGCAACAGCACCCAATTAGGTGAAATGCAATTATTCCGATCCATTCACACAATTAGCCTGCAGGTTAACAACCTAGCTGCACATTCTGCAGGCTCCTGGTGTTTTTGGGAAAGCTGCGGTCACACTGGCTCTCACAGTAAACCCTCCGTGTCAAAGAGCATCCTCCTGAAGCAGACAGTGGGACAAATAATAACATTCAGCCCCATTGGTGGAGGCAGCACATGACGCTAGTCAGCTTTGTGCAAAGGACGACTTGATTGGTTGAAGTAGGGAATAAAATCATGGGTTAGAGAAAAGAAAGAAAGTGGATTTTGTGCCCAATGGAGCAAAGGTACATAATGCCAGGCGAAAGACTGACAGGCAAACGAAGCAGGTGGGCATTCACGGAACATTGTTAAAAAAACAAAAGTTCTGGGTGTCATAGTTGAGATTGCATTAACCAAAAAAATCAGGCGTGGTTGGACTGCCACACTGACTTGATTGTCTGCTCTACCGGCTTATCTAGGGACCAGATATGGGAAGAAGGGATGGGAGTTTCCTGTCTCCTTATTTAGCTGATATCACATAAAAAATGCTTGTTGTTTCAACCCTAAACTGATAGTATGACAGAGATAATATTTTTGTTGATATCAATTCAAGCAACCAGATTCTTTAGATTAATCCAGGTTTTTCTTTAAACTATTTATCAGATGTCAGCTTTTAATAAAATAGAATCATTATTTTTTATTTATGCAGGGTTTCAGCTTCATCATCATTAGGTTGATTTACACAGCCAATAAAAGCTATAAGAAAAATCTGATCAATATAAAGAGAATTAAGATAATGAGAAAAATAATTTGTTGAGTAAAAATATTTAATTTCAATAAAGAATGAACTTCAGCGATATTCTCACAGTATGGAGTAAATATAACACTATTCGGCATCAATATTAACTAGTAAGCTGATAAGTGAAACCATCTCCTCTGTACACCTTTAACTGTTTAAAACATCATTATTTCATTATATGTATTTCAAAACAAGCAAATGGAAATTGTGGAAGACCTCTTTTATCATATCCCTTCACTCCAAGAACCTCTGTGATAGGTGTCTATCTCAGTAGGCTGTAATCTTGATTTCTTTAATATGCCCAATAATTTTTTCTGCAAGTTCAATTATGTAATTTATTTGCCTGTCATTCATGTAGTGAACAATATAGAGAGGGACTATGATATCAGCCTTGCGGGATGCCACTGAAAAAGTAAATTCATAATAGCACTTAAAAAAAAAAACAATACAATCATGTAAAGATAGAATTCCAAAGGTTGGAACCCTTATTAGTTAAAACAGATTGTATGATGAGTATTAAAAGCACCACTGTATTTCACAAAAAATATTCTGACTTTTCTGGCTAGAATCACATATTTTTCTCTCACAGTTCTTCCCCATCAGTCACACTGAGGGACAATCTTTGTTGACAGTGATTGGTTAGGGCTCAGGTGGAATGGGACTGAAGAGTCCATGGGCTCTGGTATAGCTGCTAGGATCAGCTGGCATTTACTCGCAGCTCTTCCACTTTTTTCCTTAAGTGGGCACCAACCAGAATAACAGGGGTCATTCACAGGTGACTTCTCCTCATAGGCGCACACATCTGAGCCACAGCCTCACTTCTTCGAGAATATATGTGGGTTGTTTGGTTGGTGGACAGACATAAAAATTCGTCTCATCACTTCATATGCGGTCTGCTCCATCACTTCACTCTTAGCTTCTTTCAGCACTCCTCACTTTTATGCAGTCAGCGGCATGTCAGTGGTATTATTAGAGGATTTCCTGAAATCGTTTTAGAACGGGGGACTACCTCTTTAGTGCACAAACACTTAGACACACACACACACACACACAGAAATATGGGGCCCATCGCTCACCACAGGGAATTGAAACCGTAATATGAACTCACCCTTGGTCTGAAGGAAAGACCATTACAATTTATCTTTACCACCACAGCTTAGGCAGTTTGTTCTTTGGCATGTTTGGGATTTCCTACCAGTGTCACTAGAACTATAAAGATATTTTCTTAAGGGTGTTGAGGGTCGTGTAAAAGTCAGCTTTAATTTACACACATTAAAATGAAAGCTGTAAAGTTCAAATGTGTCTGACAATTATTAACCGCATATTTAATCTTTTTCCCATTATATTTGCAGAGTCGCTTCTTCTTTATGACATAACGGGCTCTGAGAAAATTATGTGCGTGCTTGAGCCTAAACCTAAATCTGCCACCTGCTGCTTGTCAGCTCTCATCAAATGCTTGGATGAGCTTCACAAACACTCACTGCAAGTCTCTGCTTCTCTTCCAGGATCTCTCTGGCTCAATTGATGACCTCCCTACAGGGACAGAGGCCAGACTGGGCTCGGCAGTCGGTGCTGGTGGATCCTCCAATGGCAGCAGTAGTAGTAGTAGTAGCCAAGGGGAGCCAGGAGGCGCCAGTAACCAGAGGCAGTCCCCCTTTTCTCCACACGCCTCACCTCACCTCTCTGGCCAGAGGAGTGGGCTCTCTCCCTCTCCAGTGGGATCCCCTGTGGGCTCCACTCAGTCCCAGCAGTCTCGTTCAGGCTCAGGACCAATTTCTCCTGCCAGTGGACCCCCTGCTAACACCACAGCTCCAGGTACAGTTTCTCTTTGATCCAAATGTATTTTAATTTTCTGGTTTAACTTGATTAAAAAGTAAGCATGGGAGCTATAGTTTGGTTTTGGTTTTATTTTAATACTGGAATGTGGCCTTGACACCAGAAACAAAGCCACATTTCAAATGTTGTGTTCTAAGTTCCTACCGAAAGTTTCTTTAGGATTTTTTTTAGGAAAGTGCTGCTAGAAAAGCAAAAGAAAGAAGGTCAGAGCATCCCTGAGTCAGTGAAGTCAGGAAAGATGTATTGGATTTGACAGCTAATGAAAAATACCTGCTGTGACATGTCTGATCCACCTTTCAAGTCAAACCACTCATGCCAGACCTACTGTATATTTATGAAGGAGGAAAATAGAAAACGGTATTCAGCATCTGTTGCAAATTAAAATCTTAATTGTGAGGCTTGCATTCTCAATCAATCCTCTCAGTCAAAAAATTTCAGAACCACCTTTTAAGGCAACAAGGCTGCAAGTCTCTATAGGTATGTCTCAACTAGGTTTCCACATTTAGTGGAAAAATAAAAATAAAATAACTTTAGTTTAGAGCATTATGATGCTCCTACCGACCGTCATGCAGGAAATAGCATGCTTTTGTCATACATATGTCAAGAATTTTATTTCATTTTACTTGAACTCCGTTCTTTAAAAATGCCAGAGCCAGAGGACTCAATTATGCAGCAAAACGCAGGCATAGTTAGATGCATGGACAGAATCTGAAGACCCGAAATTTAGCTAACACAAGTTGTAAGTATTTAAAGAACCTTCTAAATAGTAAAATAGTGTTGCAATAACTAAAATCACTCTGAGGAGGGAAGCATATCTCAGTAGTGTTTAGGGAACACTGAATGAAAGCCACTAACATTCTCAGAACCCAGGAGGTTACTCTGGCTCTAATGAATGATACTAGAGACTCTGTATGGATGATTGCTGGACAGATGCCAGACAGGGCTAAAGCCAGCAGAGGGGTTGTAGTCAGTCAGGGGTCATGCACATAGAGGCATTCCACAGGGCAGAGGTTTCCAGAAGGGCTAGACTAGAGGGGAATCCAGAATCCAGGTACGAGAATCGGTAACAGGAGGCACATTAAACAGACAGATGTTTCTAGAAGCAAGAGACAAATCAAAATGTCCAGGCTTGGGTCATTAACGTCTGACAGAACCAGGATGGTGGATTACTAAAGCTTGAAAACTATATTTCAGACAGTTAAGGGTTCATAGACATGGTCTTGGTCCAGAAATCAGAAACCATTGAGTTGCTACGCAAGAGCATGGCACGGGAATTAAGAAAAATATAAAGAAGTTATAGACAGACAAGGCGGGCAAAGTATGCTTGACGTCTACATTCTCTCACATAAAGGCTTTTGGTGCAGACTAACTGAGGGGCTCCTATGTTTAAAGCGGGGAAAACAGGTCAAAGGAATGATGGCGATCGTCATGCTCGTTCAACTGGTGCAGCAGATCTCAAAAGGGGATCTAGCAGTCAGAATGGCCAGAATCATAAAATATTCCACATTTCCTGTGTTTCCTACATGGATACCAGCAAACAATCACACTGGGCTAACAAGATTTCTTACATTAATCACTTTCTTAATGATGCTCTACCATAATGGCCTACTCACAGAGTCATGCATACAGTAGTCCCAGCTCAAAACTGAGCTGTAAGTCTTTGAAGCCTCCTAGAGCTACAATGGGCTTGTTTTATTCTCTCAAATTGGTGAAATTCATTTTGGCAGCTCCTAAAGGTAACCGTGAAATTGCATTGAAATCTATTTAGTGGTTCCAGTTGAAAAGAGACGGGATATAAAGACTGTAGGTATTAAGTCCTGCAAGGCACTGTATCTTCATATTTTCTTGCTACGTGGAGTGTTATTTTGTTATGACAGACTTACGGTTTGATTTCTCCTCAGATTTGTAGCCTTTTCTAAAAAATAAAAAAAAGTAACAGGACTATCAGACAATAGGCAGAGTTTCGGATTTTCTCCTGAGGCTAAAACATTTAGATAAATAAACAGTGAGCGTTGTATGTAAATGAACTCTTGCTTTTCCTGCTACACCCTTATGTGTGTGTGGCCTTCATGACATCCTGCCAGAGAATGAGCAGCTGACCGGCTCATCAGCCTGTCTACGACCTGCCAGTCACTTCGACAAGGAGGGGCAAAGTGTCTGGAGTGAGATCCAAACTCCAACTCCTTCACCTTCTCCTCCTGCTCTTCCTCTCCCCCCCTCAGTCTCTTACACAAGTGATTGACGCTAATGAAAAACTGGGACAGCAAGTTGTTTTTTTTTTATTTCAGGCACTCTTGCCAAGAATCATGACAAGAATCAAAATAAAGACAGGAGGCGAAACTGATCGTTTGGACACGATTAATAAGAAAACATTTTTAGGTATATAAATAAGTGATGATAAAGCAGGAAGCAGTTAGTAACATCTGGCATGATTTCACTGATGTACTACAATCAGTTTCAATTAGATCGAGAAGAAGCCAGCTTTGGAGAGATAGAGGAGAACTGATGTGGTTATCACCCACCTGATTACAAATGCATCAATTCGTAACACTTTGTCAAAAGTAGGGACGTATCTGTTGATGTTGAAGCTTTACTTTCCTCTGAGTACAGGCGAGAGTTTTTGCACACTGTGTGTGATTGCTTTTTGGGCTATTAAACCTAGTTGTGTCCTGTAAAAAAAAGAAATAAAAAATTCAGACGATGACAACGAATAATAAGATATTAAAATTGTGTGAAGACCTCATCTGCTGCAGTTTGAGCTGCAGTCAAAAAAAAAAGTCAAAACACAGCCTTTCCAGCAGCTCTTCATTCTGCTCCATTTAGCCGGCTGTCAGTGGAGAAATTGGTATTTCAGGTTGTTTCTTAAATTGATTCTGCACCTCAACTGCTGTCAGAATCGGTTGTTTTCATTGACATTTTTTGGTATTTCGATTTTTTTCCCCCAATTGGACTTAATTATAACTGCCATAAATGTCACCACATGATCATTTTTGGATAGTTTTGCCAGACTACCGTATAAGTGCAAAGAAATTAGAATATGATAATAGTGTTTTTTTGATACTGAATACAAAATTGTTTCTTGTGCAAAAAAAGGTGGGACAAGAATATATTCTAGACTTGGCACAAATATTTATTATTGCTTCATAATATCCTACTCTCACAAATGCAAAAAGGTGCGATTTCTTAAGCTCCACTGTGTATTTTCATGGCAACTGCATTTATTTGTCATTTTACTGTAATGCTTCTACTAAACTTAGAGTTTTGGGCACGGCACATTACTCCAAAACATATTTACACACAGGTGTAATGTGTGTTCCTTAACGGGAGCGTCATACACTTTAATATATCAGCCCAGATCGTCCAATCAGATGGAATCTTACATAAAAAGTCAAGTGTCTGTGTGTTTGAGAAATGGCCAGCGAGTTTTGTTGCTTTATTAAAGGGTTGTGTGACCTCCAGTGTCGAGGGGAATCGGTCATAATAGTTTTGCTTCATTCTTTTAATGTAACTTGATGCCAGGTTTTTCTTATGCAGACTACAGCCTTGCCATGTTGCTTGGATCCAGAATCCAGCAGAAAACACAGTGAATGCTGTTTGCTATTAGAAGCCAAGTCAGAGCTTTTCAGAAGCAAACACTCCAGATAGTTTTAGTGCAGAGCTGTAAAATAAATCAGAGCGCAATCAGAAAATCTGTGGGCAACACTAAATTGGCATGAAACGACTTTGATACTGTATTTTAGGTTATTTTTAGGTATCATGCATTTACACTTTGCCTATTTGTAATATATTCGGTATCTTAAGGCCAACAGTGGAAATCGTTCATCTAGAAGATACGCTATAGATTGTGGTGAGAACACTTCTAGGGACAGATCTTAAAATAAGGAATAAACATCATTAGTATCTATTTTTCTTTAAATTGTCATCAATAATATGGCAATGGAATAGCTTAATCCTTGTCTAGCATAAATTAAGGGGTGAGTTTATTTAAGCTCTCTTTTGCATAGATCTAGTAGTTCACATTTTTACGCTCCAATGTCTTTATTCTTCTACAAGTTCCTCATGTTCGAAGTGATAAAGGAAGGAAAGCATTGAGTGTGTTGACTCCTACAGCTCCAGTCTGAGTTCAAGATGTCAGACACTATTTCATTGGACTTATTTCGAGCGGTTCTTAAAGATAGACAACAAGCTTCTATGAAACAGTGTCACTGCTTTTAAATTGTTTTTATTGTTTTATATTTTGTGCATATGTATTTATTTTTATTTTATTTTTTTTTGTTACCAGTTTGCAGTGTATTGCAGATCTCTGCCCAGCCCCCCCTTGAAAATGAGATCCAGATCTCAATGGGGTTTACCTGGTTAAATAAAGGAAATAAAAAAATGCCTTTAAAAAAACCCTCATGTCAGGAGCTGATAATGTTTTGTTAGAAGGCCCAGCTATTTTTTTAATGCCACACTTGAAAAACGATCTAGAAATAAGTAAAAATGTCTTAAATTCAGTGTATTTACCCTTGATTTGAGTAGGTAAATGAGTTGGTTTGCCAATGGAATCAGTGTTTTTACTCTTAAAATAAGATAATTAGATAATAGTCACTTTTAATTAGACAATGCAATCGTGTTTTCTTATTTTAAGTGTAAATTATCTTGTTCCATTGGCAAAATGTCTCTTTTATCTCCTCAATTCAAGAAGAAATATACTTATTTTAAGAAAAAATGACTTATCAAGATTTTGATTTTTTGCAGTGTAGCAATAGAAATCCAGTTGGCTTCTTCTGAACACAAAAAAATTGTCTTTAGGTATGACAGTCATTTAAATGGAGTGGTTAAAAAAATATATAAAAATCCCTCAAGAAAAAAAAAATCGACCCTCCTATTTCACCATTTAGTGCCCTGGATCTAAACCCAATGGAAAACTTGTGAAGTGGGCAAAGGAAAGTGTTTATCCAAGACAAACAGAAATAATTTGGTGTTTAAAGAGTAAA